TGTGTGTTTTAGAGGAAGGAAGTCAAAGTCACATCATCGTCAAGAGCATACACCAACAGTGTCCTTTCTCTCTCTGTAGGTGATGCTGATGGTGGAACATCTTCATGGCCCAAGAAATAAAGAAGATGCTGACATTTGACACTCCCACATACGCACAATGAAAAGTGAAAATATATATAATTCGAAGGTAAAAATGATTCCAGGTGGAAAAACAACTATCAAAAGGAATCAACATGGACTGGAATGACTTGGAAAGAAGTAAAAGAGGAGGAACAGCCTTCAAAAAGACTCCAGAAGCAAACCAGAATAATCTGTATTAAAACATCTTGATTTAAAAAGAGATATCTATTAGTAGTTTCTTGAAAAGTCAGTAATTGATTTACTTATTATTAACATGGAGATTCTGTAACTGTATAAAAACATTGTCTTATTGTTAGAGCTTTTTTTTTTTTTTTTACCTGAGTTGATATGTTTTCAATCTTATTTTAATTAAATAATGTTTTTTTAAATATATGTTTGAGATTTCCACTGCTTAAAGAGAGGGTCCAGTTTTTTACATTGCAAAAACTACACTGATAAGATTTGCTAAATAAGTACCTTATAAAAATTGGGAATATTAAAACCTAATAAATATAATAACAAATAGTAATAAAGAAAATGTATTTCCTTTTTTTTATATGTTTGCAACATTACATTCAGCTTTTGAGACATTTGGTTAACAAGACAAAAGTGACTTTGGTTTTTTTGACAATGAAGTAAAGATCTGACAAATTACAGACTGTGTTTTAGTTCAACATCGGCTATAGTTAAGTGGTATGATTTGTTTTACTTTATTATTTTAAAGTGTACATGGGTGAAAGGGATTCCTTTTTTTTATTATGCACTAAATGTTAAATATGTAAAAAATACAAAAAAAACTGCCAGCATGAAAAGTTTCTTTAAAATGTTGTAATCTATTAAAATATATATATATATATATATATATATATATATATATATTTTTACATATTTTTATATCCAGTATTAAACTAAAATAAGCTAAAAGGACCTGAAAACAAAGAATATTCGCCGTTGGCTATTAGCAGCAGGGAGTGTAAATGATCACATTGCTGCAGTCATAACTCACAGTCATATAGGGTGCATAATGAAAGCTGACACCCAGAGTATGTGTGTCTCCGAGTCATTTTAGACTGTTCATGCTTCCTTTCCCCTGTGTCTCTTCTTGCCTTCCTCCTCTTCTTCCTTAGTGCTGCGGGTGATGAAACTGACTCGGTTGCATCAGACCAAATTACTGCTCCTCCGCCCAACTTCTGCCTTTTCCCTTCCACACACACACTTGGATTTGTTTGTCCACACTCTCAAACCACATTAGTGTGTTTGACCCCATTGATTAAGTGTTTTCTGTTGATTCAAATCAGGGTGATCAGTCACTGATGTCTCTGTTTACTGGGCGGAGATGAGCCGATAGTGATGGATAACAGATTAATCAGTAAACACAGACCATTGATGAGCATGCAGACTTCCCAACACCGGCCATCACTGAGGGTTTCACACATAAACCTTTGTTCTGCAGCAAAGTAAAAAAAAAAAAAAAAAAAAGAAATGCATTCAGATCTACATATTGCCTGTACAACCTTGTTTAAAAGCTGTAAGTAGCTGTTAATTGTATGATCTTTATGTAGTCTTTTTCTCAATCTTCAATGAGAAGAAACAAAATACCTTGAAGTGAAATTATCTGAAATTTAATAAAAAGCTAAGATCATCCAAAAATAACTGTTTTTATTTTCCTTATTTCCTTTTTTTTTTTTTTAAGCGTACAGTACTTTCCTGTTATTGATTCTTTAATTTCAGAGGAGGCATTTGCTAATACCAATTCCAAATCTGATACAACATAAATGTTGACATCAATTTTATGTTCAATTTTCCAAGCTCTATAGCTAGATTGAACTGTTTAATCAAGATGAATGCTAGTTATAATTAGTGTTGCACCGATACCAATACCAGTATCGGACGGGGCCCCGATACTGCCCTAAAATGGTGGTATCGGGATCGGTGAGTACCAACAAATAGGGCACCGATACCATTTTGAGAGCCATAAGTTTATTCTACTATTGTCACCCACTCCTGGTAGGCAATAAAAAGTTCTACTGGATTCACTTTGTATTAGATTTTTTTTCCTGCTTCACAAAGGTAGGCAGCAGCTTGACAAAGCCATGATGGCAATTATTTTACATTAATATGGTATCTGTATCGGCCGATACTGTACAGCCAGGTATAGGGGATCGGTATCGAGATCAAAAAATGGCATTGGCGCAACACTAGTTATAATCAGTCCTTGGAGCACTTACAATGCATATTACTTAAGAACAAAAAAAGATTTGTGACAAGGTCACCTATAATGTGCAAACAATGTAACACAGTATTACCATTTCTCTCAAAAATATGTGTGGCTTAACACAAAGTTACAGTTATCATGAGGTTGTAGCTCTGCTGAGTCCAGAGTTAACATTATCTACCAAAGACTGAATGAGACAGAGCACATATATCTTTTTTCTAAATAAGATATTAGTGAAAAAAATGAGTATTCTAAATATTTGACATTTCTACAGGTGAGATGTATAAAAAGAGGCACCTGAGAGAGATTCATAAGACAGGAAATATAAAAATACATTGACTAACATACCCAAAATGACATTTAACTAAAGAAACAAGAGACAAAACAGAATAAAAGTCAGTATTCATGTTTGTATGAAGTCCTTAAAGTCAGGAAAACGCTTCACTGAACTCATTTTACATTCCTGTGAAGACTTTTCCATGCAAAAGGGTTAGCTAAAATGCTGAACTGATAGGTTAACCATAACATGTTCACTGATAATGTGTCTTTTGTATTTTATTGGTGTGACAGGTTTTTTTTTGTTGTTTTTTGTTTTCAATGCCAAACAATCAGAAAAGGCTAATTTGATTTAGAAGTTTTTGAAGACTGGAGTTTTAGACCCTGGCTCTAGTTCTTTATACGGCCATATTTAAACAAATTAAAATAAGCATTTGGACGAGGCATATTTGTCATATTAAAATTCCTTCTTGAAAATGCAAGTCTTTAGTCTGATGCAATATTTTTTCATCAGCAGTTATGAATTATATCTGATAGAAGGAAAGGCTTGACAACATTAGCCTTTGTGTTGGTAATATTTATAAGATGTTTCCCTTATCGAATTTAATTAGTGAAATTAATGACATTTTCAAAAATATTGTAATACATTGAATATGACTAAATACTGGATAGTTTTGCATTACCCTTTTCTCACAGTCCTGCTCTAGAAATTTCATTTAGTTTGTTCTTAACACAAACTATTTCCCATTTGAGAAGTTGCAAACAGAAGTGTACAGATACTTGAGTATATGTGCCTTTGATGCATTACTCCACCTCAAACCATCCGTTACTAAAGCACATACATACCCATTTTATAGCACACAAAGCATAATTATATGTCTATCAATAAATCATAGTTGACTTTCAAATATTTTATTGCAATGTGAATTCAGTCTTAACAACAAACAAACAAAAAACTTGAAGTTATAAAACAGTTTGAAAGAGAAAAGAAACAATTCTAGTATCTATTTCTCTGCTAACCATGTCTGCTAGCTGAGTTCTCGCAGTTTAAAGCACACAAGAAAGTATCTTTTACCTGATGATGTGAGACAAACCCAAAACATCAGCCAGTATGGTTGTAGTATTATGGCCCAAGGAGCGACATATAGCTGTGAAGATTGCAAGAGATGCAGAACCCACAGCTGGACCAATAGAAACACAGGAGGACATACGTGTAGCTGTTGTAAATGCGTCCGCTTTGTCTGAATACGATGTTTCTTATCACTTTGAAAGATGAACAGCAAAATTGTAAAAGTGTAAATTCTTTCGGTTTCTCGTGGCTTCTGTTGATATTTTGTTTTTTAACTGCTATTAGCTATATCCAAACTTTGGGCAGCAGCTGTCACTTTACCCAATATGGTCGGCAAGGTCCCTTCTTTTCCTGAACAGATTTGATTGGAGGAGTCTGAGATTAATAACCCATAGAACTAAATCTGAGTTCTATAGATTATCAATATGGCATGCCAGATCCATCCATCCATCCATCCATCCATCCATCCATCCATCCATCCATCCATCCATCCATCCATCCATCCATCCATCCATCCATGGTAAAAATGACTTTTTGATTTGAAAAGGTTTTTGATCCCTTGTCGATAGCTTGTTCTGTACAGGGGATCTATCTATACCCTGGACACTATAGATCTCTGTAGATAGATCTCATCGACTTGGGGATTCTAAGTCTATAGATCTAAGAGGTTCTTTATCATTGTGCAAAACAGTGACTCCAGAACAAACAGTCTCACACAAATACATGCATATATGAGGACAATTTATGAATGAATGTTGTAGAATTCTTTAAATATTTGCACCATATTGAAAGGGCAAACTCTAACTGAAGCACTTCTTTTTTACCTCTCTTGTCACTTTGATCTGATGGGATGATCTGGTCAGTGTGAGTGTTGTAGAGAATATCTGCTGTCCCCCAGAGTCCCCTTTGTGTTGCTGGAATTAACTCTGACTTGTCACGTGTAACCAACTGCTAACCTCCCAACCCATTCAGGAATCATCGCCTGTGTGTGTGAAAGGGACAGAGAAAGGAAGAGGTCAAGCTGTCACAAGCACAAGCAAAATCATTGTTACCAATGGAAAAGCATAAATGCACTCGAACTAAAACATTACATAGACATATTCTAACAAAAACTGTTGAGCTTTACTCTGAATCCTACCTGCTGGAACTTAATCATTATTTTGATGAAATTGTACAAAGTGTAGTTTAATTTTAGCAAAAAAAAACAACAAAAAAAAAAAAAAACAGCATATGGTAATGCAATTCTTTTTTTTATGGTAAGCATGGTTTTTCTTAAAACTTATCCATACATAGACTGTAGAATCTATTACAAGGTCTGTAACCTGTAACCTCTGAAGCCACATCTGGGTCTTTGAGCCCTTCACTGTGGTCAGAACAAAACTGGATATATATATTTTTTTATCATTGTTTGGTCTTTATTTTTGGGAGGGTTTCATTCTTAATATCTCAGATTTATGGTGGGTCTCACAGCTTGCTTCTGTGTACAAAAACAAGTTTTCAAAAATAGAATTTCATAGTTTCAAAATCATAGTTTTCCTTTTCAGTTTTAAAATACCGGTAATAAAAAGAAAAAATATTTGTTTAGTTTCCAAGGCTATCAGTATTATATTTAATATTTAAATCTTTATTATGGTCTTAAGTTGTAATTGTATTTTGTAGCCATAGTGGCAAAACTGGTTCTTGGGATTAAAAATGTTGCAGACTCCTGATCTATACCAGAGTTCATGATTATAACCTTGAATTAAAAACACTTCTGGTGCAGGTTTTGTAATAGCAATTACATGTTCAAATGATAAGAGTAAAACTTTGAAAATAGCATTAGTGTTATACAGTGTAATTTACATCATAATAGTTAAAACACATTTTATTGAGCCTTAAAACAGATTTCCAATCTGCTCTTTATTTTCATGGCTTTACAACCTCTGTTTGTATATGTTTTAATTCTCCCTGAGGAACATTATGCTTCATACTATTAAATCCCCCCTCATATTTTTCCCAAACTCATTTTAAACTCTTAATATCTTCCTAATACTCACTTCACTATGATTGGTTAATGTAGGAGAGTTCTGAATAATTGCTGGATGTGTTTGAGGTTGATGTCATTGACTGTTTAGGATGCAAACCACAAAAAAGTCTCAAGAAAATAGTCTTTCTGCTCTCTAGAAGAAGAATTTTCTTTTTCAACCCCAATTTCCTCTTGTCTCTATTTTGTGTTTGTTTGCATGGCCTAAAGTCCTTGTACATACTCAGTGACTCATAATGG